AGAGAGCCGAAGAAGAAAGCTAGTAAGTTTAGGTAGTGCAATGTTGTAGCTATACTGAACGGAAATACATATATGGGAATACCGAAGCTTGAAAATGAGTTGAGGCAGAATTTATTATTCCATCTTATTGGAAGCAAAAGACATAATTATTCTGTAGCTACAGGAAGAGCAGAATTTTGATTGGAAACTTGTTGTGAAGCAGGTTGACGTGATAGTAGACTATCGATACAGGTAAAAGGAAGTGAAAATGTAGGGCTAGAGAAAGCTATACTGGTCTGCGTGGTCTGGCTGGTTCAAATGTGTTTTAGTTTTAGGGAAATGCATGATGGAGAGTTGAAAAAATATTGTAAGAAAGTGTATAAGACACTTATACCTTGGATGAGAAATGAATATAGCGGTACACAATATTGGGAGTATGCAATTTAGCGTGTATGTAGGCATAATGGTGTAATCTAGGTACTGCACCGCAACTACAGTAGAAGGCAAATAATATTGTAAGAAAGTCTGTAACGAACTTTGCAGTTTCCCTATTCATAATGGCTAACCTCTAGATTGAACAGTTTATAAGAATTCTGTAGCGAGACCAATGGATGTAAGGGATATGATAGTGGTAATGTTTTGGTAAGCCAATTGACCGAGCTCATTAAGGCAACAGAGTGATATTGACGATAAGGTAAACATAAAGATAAACATTGTGACAGCATAGGCAAATGTAACTTTTATCGTAGGTGTAAATCATGAGAGATGTTATACTAATGGCTATAAGGAATTGCTACATTCATTGATACAATGAGCTGTTCAAATGTCAGTTGGAAAACATTGTTACCTGAACTGCGGTTTTTTTCTGGGGGTTTTTGGGAGATGTGAACAATCAGAAACTGCAGATTTATTAATTTCCTGTAAACAAACCAAACAGCCAATAAAGTAAGAAGTGTCATAGTAGTTTGTGCACAATTTCAATAGGTTTATTAGATAAGAGCATAAAGAATTGCGTGGAATGAAACGGAGAAGGCAGGAATGACTGAAATATTGCGTGGAAAGCTGACATTACGTAGAGCGAGGACAAACGGAGGTCCTAAACTTGCTGTATTCATTTGCAGAGGAGGGCAAAAAAAGTGGATGCTGAAGTTAGAAGGAATTATCCAATTAAACTGTGTCTTCCTTTTAAGTGTGTGTGTTCATTTGGAGATGCATATATATAGACATGAGTATTTGAGTATTATAAGTGTTTAAGGTACCAATTTGTTTATGGAAGCAGTGGAAATGAAGTTACATCAGTAGAGTTGAAGTGATTCAGCTTTCAGGGGAAAGACTTTGTCTCATACTACTAAATGCGGGAGTCTGTTGTATAGGAATTTTAGCATTTGAAGGCTTCATTTTCTATTGATGTTACAATTGGGTTTTACGGTTTGGTAACTATCCTGTATTATCGGCTAATGGCAGAATCAAATTATCCTAGGTTGGTTAAGCGTACAACGGAAAATGCAGCGAAAATCAAAATTTGGGCGGCATTCTGTAAAATAATTCCATTCCCAAATGGAATGGAACAAAGAGGCATGAATATAAGCCATTATATTTTGGGTCCTACATGGTAGAATAAGCAAAATCCATAAAACGTAAAAGTGAAGAGATTGCTGCCAATGTTTGGTTAGAAGCTGCTCTGGTGTTCACAACTTATATAGAAGTGATACCAAAGATGAAGAGTTTGAGCAAACAGTTTATTTGGCTGTTCAATTCCTTGGTCTACCGCATTGTTAACCGCGAAGCAGGTCTAAGAAGCAGAAGTAAAACTACTGCAAACAACAAAGTAAGCGAAACTATTACCAAAGAAATCTCCCTAGCTGCACTGTTTATTTTTGGTGTTTAGATTTTTGGCTCTTACGTAAGCATAATCTGTAAAGGGATTATATATTGTTAGGATATTTGATTGTCAAAAAAGGAATGTGAAGGTAATGAGAGAAAGTAACAATAAGCTTAGAAGCAACTATTTGTCTAGAATTGTAGGCCTAGCAATTAATGTGTTTGAAGAGTGATTAGCAATTTGGAGTATCCTGGAAAGCAGAAAGCAGGGCAAACTTTAAAGGAAAATTAAAACAGGTGAGTGCGAGCTGATGCGCAAAGAGCGGGAAGTAAAACAGTAAGAGAACTACTAAATTAGCCTAAGAAATAAAGTAATATAAATTAGCCGTAGTACCATTAGGAGAGACTTTCCTATTGGATTGAGTACTACAGATGGCTGAGCTAACAATTCTGACTGTACTTGGAAATTTCTAGTTACAAGCGAAGTAAAAAATGAAAGAACAACTGGTGGCTGTAGGAAATTGTATAGATCATGGGAGAAGACATATAAGATACCTGTGATGACGGGGGGATGTGTGTGAATCTGGTGGATTGGGTAGCGTGTATAAACGGTTTGCGTCAGCAGTTCAAGCAATCCCTCTAAGGTGCTGATAATGAAGAGGCTGATGTAGAGCCTGGAGGGTGTTGTGTATGAGTGGTATTTTGATGTTTCATTTACAGGCATTCTCCTGTGAAATAGATTTAGTATTTAAGAATATTCAATAGCAGGGAAGTAAACAGGGAATAAGTTACAACTACATATGGAACAACTTAAACGAATCATTAATTATAGTACACGAAATATTTGTAGCAGGTAATCACTTTTAATAGGCATTCACAATTTCGACTATTGTAAAAACCGGAGAAATGGAAAAAGCTGAAACGATAATTAAAAGAGCTGAAGGAAAAGTGACGAGCAAACACCGGTAACTAAATCAATAAGAGAAGTACTAAAGTAGGAGTACAAATAAAGTGTGAAAAATTCAGCCTAGTAACCATTAGGACAAACTGTCCTACTGCAGTCAAGACGACAAATGGGTGAGATAAGAATTATGACTGTATTTGAAATGGTTTTGTTACAACTGAAGAAAAATGTGCGAGAATAGCTCCTGGGTGCATCAAATCGTATAGCTCATGGGGGAGGGGAAAAAGGTACCTGTGACCACGTCAGGGATGTCTGTCAATCTGGTGGAGTGGCTAACCTGTATATATGGTTTGGGCCAGCATTTGAACCAATCCATGTAATGTGGTGATAATGAAGAGGCTGGTGCAAACCCAGTAGGCTGTTGTGTACCACTGGTATTTGTGTGGTTCAGTTGCAGGCAATCTGCTGGCAAATAAAGTGAATATTTACGAATATTGAATGTAAGCAAATTCAATATGAAATAAGTTAGAACGACATATGGGACAAATGAAATGAGTGAGTAATTATATTAGAGGTAATCTTTTGTTGCCTTTTGATAATGAATTTGTTTGGACAAGTATTGAGGCAAAAGAAAGCAAACACATATAAAAGCTCTAAATACGGAACATATGGGGATACAACATATGTGACCAATGAGAATACGTGTAACCACGAAAATTGAGGTGGTATTCTTCCTATAATGTGAATGAACCAACAGAAATATTCCCTCCGAACAGTGTAACCTATTCATCAAATGAGTTGAAGCAGCTAACACGAGAAGAACAATGTAGACCAGGTAATACATTCCCATTGTCTTAAGCACAGTGAATATTAAGACACAGTAAGTACCAAAGATGTAAGAATTTCATCTTCTATAATAGAATGTTGCAACTAACAATGTATCTACTTGTCCGAAATATTTGTGAAACAGTATATTTTGACATGCAGCTGTGTCGACTTTATCGGTAAATATGCAGGCCAAATTTACGGAGACAAATGTACGTTAATTAAGAGAGACTTTAACAATTATCAGCAGTGTGAACTACATATTGACAAATGTAATGTAAATTTGTTATCAGGAAGCAGGGGCTGTGGCGGTTAGATGTTGAAGATAGTGCAATAGAGAAATACATGCAATTATTGAGCACAAGTTTGCAGGAGATACATAGAGTATTATATGGCGTAATATGGTACAGAGAAGACAAATTACGAATGGAAGAAAGAGCAAAACAGCAGACGAATTAGGAATGGGAGAAAGAGCAAATGATGGAGCAAACATGTAATTTTCACTTAAAGCATGAAGAAATACCTCCGCAGGTCGTCGGAAAGAAACGGAAACTTGAGGAAAGCTTCAGCGAGAGATTTTAACTGTATAGACAAACAGAAAACAGTAAGCAACAGATGGATTGGCCATTGAAGAGGTAAGAAGTAGAAGGAACAATTGACAGAATAGAGCGACTTTACCTCGGAGAACAGAAAGCTAAAGCCTAAACAAGTAGCTGCGCAGCGCGTCGGAAACAACCACAGATCTTCAGCAAAGCTTGAGAGAGAGATTTAAAGTGCGTAGAGAAAGAGGAAAAACTAAGGAGTAGATGGATTCGCCATTGAAGAGGTCATCAGAAGCAGAAGGAAGAGTTGAGAGAATGCTGCGACTTTAGGAAGGAGGCGAGAAATTAGGGTTAGAATTTTGGCAAATATAGCAAGAAAGTTCTAGAGAAAGCGTGGTTGTTTTTTGACGTACAATTAGTACTACCATTAGTACAATGCAAAGATGCAATGTTGGTCCTTTGTAAAATGTACAATTAGTACAGCCTTTAGTACAATCAAATAATGTAGTGTTGGTCCTTTTGAAGTCTCATTTCTACATAAGGGAAATATACTCCCTCCATTCCATATTAACTTAAGTTTTGAGGTGTTTCACACCCTTTAAAAAAAGTAGATTAAGACATAAATTAAACCTACTTTTCTATTTTTACCCTTATTAATTATTGTCAAATTTATGATTAAAATAACTAAATATTAATTAATAACTAATTTCAATACTAACTAATGAAGGGTAAAATTGGAAGATCACTTTAAAAGTAGTCTTGAAAACTGAAAACTTAGGTTACTTTGAAAAATGGAAAATGTCTCAAACTTAAGTTAATATGGAACGGAAGGAGTATAAGATATCTAAGGCGAAATTACTATTTTACCCTTGTATATATCGATTTTTCAAACGTGCCATTGGTCGATGAAATAAAGTAAAACCTACTAAAATTGTTTTTGCCTTTAAACGGGCCAAACTTCATTGCCATCGAATTACCCTTCGTCCCGTTCTCTCTAGCGAAGGCATGTACACCCCCGGCATAGGCTCCTCTGGTAACATGTTTCCACTCTTTAGAAATTTCGCTTCCATTTTTATTTTCTTTGTATTATATCAATACATTTTGTGATTTTCTTTGTAGTTTGTAAAAATGGGGTTTAATTGTTGGATTTGCATTTTGCAAGGATAAGTGTTGAGGTTCAAGAAATAATACCAGTTAGTTTTCTTTTAGTAACTGGGAATTCAATTGTGTGTTTAGAAGTAGGCTTAATGGTTTCCCCAGTGGTTAGGTCAGCAGTGAAGATTATCCTTTAGTAAAATGGATACCACCACGGAAGAATGATGAACACTTTTATCACCATCAACACCACAACTCCATTTTAATACCAATGCATTGCAATTCAGAGTTTTAAAAGAAACGAGAAAACTAAAGATTGCCCCTATTTCCTCTGGATTTGGATGGAGTGTCTTATAGTCACCAGATACCAAAAGTGGAAAACAAATATCCCAGTAGACTAGACTATGTTAACATTTATCCAAATAATCGAATCTAACACAAAAATCCTAGAATAACAATAAATTTCTCCATAAACTGAATAGGTCATTAACGGTATTGGTGGTGTGTCATTTTTCTCCGGCTCCCTTTGTTGGTTTTTGTTTATGCTATAACCTACTATCATCTTTGATTGACTTGGATCAGTGTTTTCATTGTTTTATGTCTTCTTTTCACTTTATGCTACTAAGTATGACAACATTTCACTGTCATCAAAAAAAAGTATGACAACATTTTACTTGAGCACAAATATATTGAATGGTGTTTGTTAAATGCTTCTAGGTTACAATTTTATATTTTCTCTCTTATATATAGAGTTGTGACAACAAATATATGATGCATTTTTTTGATATCTTATATGGTGCTTGAATTACTTGACCTGTTTCACGATCCTATTTGCTGGTCCTAGTTATTCTGCTTCTATACTATGTATTTTATTTCAGAGTTTGATATTATAGATATTAAAATTTTCAACTTCAGATGTAGAGAAGTAAGGAAATGGTAGTGTGGAATGCCAATTCTAGCAAATCCTTTAATGAATTAGTGTTGTTACAACTATAGAAACTTGTTGCTTGGAAACTGCTGGTAATGGTGCTAGTTTTCTTCTAGCTTTTGATGAGGTAAGAATCTTTAAAATCTTTTTGCTGCCGCTTTGTTGTGTGATGGTATGTCCCTTTCAAAAACTCTTTTCTTTGCCTTAATGAGTAGTGGAATACTGGATTTTCATAGGACAATCTCTTTGGACTTGATGGAATGTTTTTGTGAAGTCGCATGTTGAAACTAACTGATAAAGTTAGACATGACAAGAGATTGTCGCTAGAATTTTTTTATTTGACTGGCTTTTGTGATCCTTGCATCTTACTATGAATTCTTCACTCATTAAAAGTCTGCTCTTACAAGTGAAAAATATATTATATTACTCAACTCTTCTTATACATGTAAGCCTTATTGTATATTTGTACAGCTAGTAGCTCTGCTAAAATGGAAACTGCCTTTGGAGATACTGAAGTGGTGGAGGCCAAAAGAACACACCTAGCAACTATGGTATGGTTGCACGGGCTTGGAGATAATTCTACAAGGTAAGTTCTTTCTCCAAAAAAAATAATGCTTTAAGGTAAGTTCAGTTGTACTTCCTTTTACTGAAATGTTCTTTTACTTTCTTCTGTTGCTTTGGCGCTAATATGGTAAATGTACAACCAGCCTATCCCAACCCCTCTTCCCAGTAGACACCATTAGTCCTTTTCCAATATGCTTCTTGGTGAAAAACCCTCTCTTGTTGCTACTAACGCTAGTTCATTCATGTTTGTTTTTATTAGGACTGCAATGTAATTCACTTCTTGAAAGTATCAAAGCAAGCTTTATTTGTTACATGTTAAGCCTATTTTGTGCTATGACTAACTGCACTGCTCCTTTTGGTGTTAAGCGTTCTATTATGGACTTGTTTTACACTAGAAAACCAGTCTGATTCTGTGAAATAACAGAAACTTTGGTTTTGGTTTTCCTTCAGCTGGATCGGATATCTCCATCTAATGGATGCTAATGTAAGTATCTTAAACATTCTTTTTGTAAGTAGATTCTTTTGGGATCTAATTGTTGCAATTGTTTGCTTTACTCTTTTGATAGGCTCAAGCTTATTATTTTTCACTTGGCATGCCTTTCTACCTTTTTTTTGCATCAATAACTTTGACTCATATTTATTTACAGACTAAGTTTATCTGTCCAACTGCCCCCTTTCGACGAACAAAGTTATTGGAAGGCGACTATTCTACTTCCTGTAAGTTAACATACTTTGACATTTTAACTTTCAGTTATACATTCATACATTGTTTAGTTTAAGAATAAAAACTTGATACTTGCATGAAGTTATATTTATGTCTAAATTCAAAACATATCAGAATAAATGAGCTCTAATAAGTAGAAAATCATCGAGTACTTTTCTGAATACCGTAAAATTCTTTATAAAAATGTTACATACGTTAAAAGGCACGAAAAATAAATATTTAAATAAGAAATCGTCTTTGTACGCTTTATTTAGTACTTGTCGGTTATCTAGATAATTAATATAAATATAGTTAGAAATATCTAGGTTCTCTTGATATTACCGAATACTATATATGATATTCTAGAATTATTTCCCTTCTTTCTTGTGGGAGAACAACTACTTTTCTTGTTCTTAGCAAGGAATAATGACTTGCCTTATTTTATTAGATGAAAACTTCTATACAAGGAGCTCTTTTTGTGAATTTAGTAGAATCTGAAGTAACATCTGTCTACCAGAGACAACCTTGTGGTGCTTGTTTGGTCAATATTTTGTTCTCCTTTTCTTTCCCGCATACCTCACTTTGTGTTCTATCAGAAACAATCTACTACCCTCTCCATACCTAACTTTGTAGGATTATACTGGGTATGTTGTTGTTTTCTTTCCCTCAACCACAACCGCTCCTTTCTCTTTTGGCTATCATGTTTAGTTTGGTTGTTAGCCCAATTTCTATTTGGCATTTGTTTTTTCCATGAGATTTTGGTAACTTTTATTATTTTTGAAATAAGCAAACTCAAGTTAATTTTCTCAATTTGATTTTTAGGGAACGTGCTAGACTATCAAGAAATTAGGGTTAGACTTGTCTAGATTCACTTTATGCAAATAGGAGATATTGTATACAATCCATATCTTAATCTTGAATACTCTCTACTTAGTGGTGTGAGAATTGTTGTTTACATTACTGTAATCAAAGAATCTCACTTGACTCATTTTATGATGCGACAAAGTTTCAAATTTGCTCTTGAACTATGTGAAATTATCTACTCTTGCCCTCCGTTAATAGTTGGATAAAAAGTGCCCACTGCCGTTACCTAAATGGTCTACATTTGCTCGTTTTCACTAATGGAAAACGATTAGCACCACAAATTGCCCGATTTTAATTAAAGAAGGGCATGAATGATCATGTTATGGTCCCCTCATGGGGTACTGCAGTTTTTCCATAGAATTCCATGTAGTTCCTTTCCAATTCTCACAGGCCAGGTTCACCCCTTAATTAAGAATCTTTAAAATTAATGAGGTTTAAGACTTTGGTTTTCCAGGACAACTACACAACTCATACATTACTTCTACTCCTTTCATTTCCTTTAATTTGTTTTGATGAGCTTGTGGAAAAAATGTAGGTACCCAACCAAAAACCTTAAGTAAATGAGCAGGGCAGATCAAGACCTTTATAAACCCTTCAAGTCGTTGAGTGCCCTAATATACCCAATGTGGGTTATCATATACTTCAACATCCTCCAGCACATGGAACTAAATCTTGAGGTTCACATGCAGACTTGATTGTAAACACACACATCCTAGAATGAGCTTCTCAAATTGGCTTTGAAAACATGTGTACATATTGATAGTAGACATATGCATGCTAGAAAGAGTGTCTCGACTTGGTTTTGGGAACGCATGAGCGGACATGAGTATCCAACCTCACACTTTTAGAGGTTGTATCCTAGAGGTTTAGATAGAAAAATGAAACTGAGCCTAAAGACTTAAAAACATAATGAATTGTGCAATTGGAAAGATGAGACAGATCTACACCTTGATTTCTACAAACTACAAGAAACAAAATAACCTTCCAAGATTAGAGCTCCAAGTTCAAAGAGGAGGCTTGGCATCCTTATGGATCAACCTACAGGTGCTTTAAGTGAAATTGCATAGTTAAATAATAGACAAGTTCAACAAGTTAACTTTGTTTGAAAAAGTGAAGCTACCTCCATTATGTTCACTGTTTTAACTTTTAAACACTCTCCCCCAAACTTTTCTTCTTTCTGGGAGGTCAGCTGGTGAAGTCACAAGTCTATGTTAGACATCGGTCCATTACCTCTGTTGAATTTTATTTTATTTTTGCGAATGGTAACTTTTTCTTCTATTTATCCACAGGTATACTACATCAAAGTAGCCCCTCTCCCAAAAGTATTACAAACTAGACTGACTCCATCTATGCTTTTTGTCACAAATAGTCTAAAACATCAAAAAGTTCTTCTGCCTGTACTAAGACTTTCTGTTTACACCAAAAATAATAAAGAGCTATACAATTCATCTTGAAATTCTGCACATTGTTCTTCTTGCCCTCAAAACATCTTTGATTCCTTTCTTTCCATACTGTCCACCATATACATGCTGGGACAATCCTCCATCTCTCCTCCTTAATTGTAGTATTGCCAATATTGATCCAACAATTTAGGAGTTGTGCTATGTTTCTTGGTTTCACCCAAGTGATCTTTCTAAGGCTGCTGAATATTCTCCATAATTGATCTGTCCATTTGCAATGCAAAAAGAGATGGTTGACTGTCTCTTCCTGTTCCTCACACAGATAGCATCTTGAGCATAGTTGGAACTTCCTCTTCTTTATATTCTCTTGTGTCAGCACTGCTTCCTTTGCTAGTAACCATGTGAAACAGTTTACCTTGTATGGGATTTTAGGTCTCCATATCATCCGCCATGGCCATAGCTCCATCCTATCATTTGAATTTGATTGATTAAGATCTTTGTAAGCTGACTTGACACTGAAAACCCCTTTGCTACCAATCTTCCACACAACCTTGTCTTCTTCCCTAGTCAAATTGCTAAATTGTGCCATTGTATCATGGAAGGCCACTATGTTCCCCATCTCCCAATCATTTAGATTCCTCCTAAGATGTAAGTTCCACCCCTGTCCTGTCCACATTTCAGCCACAGTTGCATTTTGTTGAAGGCTTAGTGTATATAAGTCTGGGAATAATTGTTTCAGGGTTCTTTGGGCTATCCATCTGTCCTCCCAAAATGACACCTTCATTCCATTACCCACCTGGAATCTGATTCTAGAAAGAAACAGAGGCCAAAGATTTCTTATTGATCTCCAGATACCACATCCATATGGTGTAGTTACCATCTTTGTCATCCACCTATTCTCCATTTCATATTTTGCCCTGATCACCTCTCTCCATAGCATATTCTCTCCTGACATAAACTTCCAAAGCCATTTTAGCATTAGGCTTTTGTTTTGTTTCTTCATGTTCCTGATCCCTAGTCCCCCCTCTTTCTTATTTTTTATGACCTCTTCCCATTTGACTAGATGAAACTTCTTTTTATCTTCATTTCCCTGCCAAAAGAAATTTCTTTTCAAAGCATCTATCCTCTGTATGACATTGTCTGGTGCTGGGAACACAGACATCATATAAGCAGGTATTGCATCTAGCACACTATTAACCATGGTTAATCTACCTCCCCTAGACGGATATTGGCTCTTCCAGTAGGTAAGCTTCTTTTCGCATTTTTCTATCGCTCCATTCCAGATCCCTATTGATTTGCTCTTTCCCCCCAATGGCATACCTAGGTATATGGTTGGTAGTTCCCCTACCCTACCACCCAAAACCCCTGCCAGACTCTCCACCTGAGCCACTTCATTTATGGGATAAATGAAACTCTTCCCCAATTGATATGTAATCCAGAGACTGCTTCAAAGATGATGAATATTACTCTTAGGATCAACATTTGCTCTGTCATTGCTTCACTAAAAAATAAGGGTATCATCTGCATATTGCAGATGTGTGATCTCCAAGCCATTTTGTGCACTGCTGTCCACCCTGATGCCCCTTACCCAACCCTTCATCTGTGATGTGTGAATTAGGTTACTCAAACCTTCCATGGCTAAGATGAATAAAAAGGGTGACAGGGGGTCACCTTGTCTCAGTCCCCTTTGGGATGAAAAGAAACCACTAGGAGTTCTATTAACTAAAATAGAAAACTTGACTGTGCTTATGCAGAATTTCACCCATCTAATCCATTTGGCTCCAAAACCCATCCTTTGCATCATAAGCAGTAAGAAATTCCAGTTTAAATGATCATAGGCCTTCTGTATATCAAGCTTGCATA